TCCTGCTGAGTTGCTGTAATGAAGAATGGATGTCGCGGTAAGCACTTGCGAGGTGAATCGCGTTGAGACGACGATGTAGTAATCTTGAGGCGGTTGGTCAGCTGTGACCAACACAGAGTAGGACTGCCCCAGATGAATGTCAAGGGAATCGTAGATATTTTGGAGCGTGTGAGTGCCTTCTACCTCAACCAGCAACATCTTGTGCCCCTGGATTCTAAAGTTAATCGATGTCGTAAGCCCCACGTTGGATATCCGGAATCTGTATGTCTTGCCTGCCAAGCAAATTCAACGTAGAAAATTTCATAACTTTCACAAATGTTGGTGTTTGATGAGTTATATGGCAGTTAGTTACCTTGATCAACTGTGAATGTGTTCCCATTTGATCCACGGCCATTGATAAGAAGCCCATCAGGGAAGGGAAGATCATGCCCGCCATCCAAAATCGCTTTTAAATCCTAAGAAAAGTTAAGAAAATCCCCCCTTTTGCTATGGATTTACAACACTAAAAAATGGTACCAAAAACATGGAAGTTCAAATTTTTCAGCAAGTAAGGTACTTACAGTGTGATTTTGCTTGTACCAGTCACCAGCTAGTATGGTGAAATCACCAGCTGGAGGAGGGAAAGGTACCGGAATTACAGGTCGGCTTAGAATTTTGATGCCGCCGAACCCTCCGGCAGCCTTGTGGAAGGCAAGGGAAGGGGAATAGAAGTAGCTTCCAATCTGATCTTTGACTTGGAGAACATAAGTGAAATTCTGTCCTGGTGGAATAGGGCAGTTTGTGCCATAGACACCATCTTGCCATGAGTTCCTTCTTTGCTGTACACCATTCCTACATAAAAGGTAGGATCTTATATTTTGATTAATGGAAATTTTTACCCATTTTAAAAATCTCAAGATTATGAAATTAGTTCTACCGTTTTCAACACAGATACAAGGGATAGTGGCGAGAGTAATGTCAATTGCCTATCATCACATAATTAAGAGAAAACTTTGGCAGCAACAATTTTTTTAATTTTTTTTTTTTTTAAGTATGCTCAAAGTGAACCAAATGATTCGGATTTATAAATATGTCATGACCAAGTCAAATATATTTTGCTTTTAAATATGCTCATTTGTCAGTTACACTAGGCGACTAAATTATGTGTTGTTATGTCTTAACAGTACCCACCAAACTGATATTAATTAGTTCAGCACTTTCTGGTCATAACAAAGATCTCATTAGTACCTCTCACTAGTGTTGTGGTCCAAAAGCGTTTGAAGAAAATTCTATTAAGATGGAACAAATATGGACAAAGCTCAACAAACTCGTTACTAAAACTAAAGAGATGAAACTCAAACCAACCAGGAGATGAGAAAAGGTTCGTCCAAGCTGTTGAAAACACTGATGATCAAGTTGTCATTGGTCACTGACTCGATCTGAGGGCCTGGAAATTGCCCATTTATCAATATTCCCTGCATTTAAGTTAAACCGCTCAAATTCAACAACCCTTTATTCTATTAACCATAAACATGGGGGGAAAAAAAAAACTAAACTAAACTAAAACTAAAACAAAGAAAGAAAGAAAGAGACATAATGTGAAATAGTAATAGAAAATCTTAGTACCCTTTGCTTAACTCCAAGGGGATAAATATCGCCATATGTAACATTCCAGTCGTAGAATCTGTATGGGCTTTCACCATTGGTGCAGCTCATAAGCAAGGCCAGTAATAGTAGAGAACAAAGATTTCGCTTCCCACCCATTTTTTTTTTCCTCAGTGCTCTAACCAACCCAGTTTCCTAGGATATTGTTTTTGAAAGAAATGGAACAAGAAATGGAAAAGGGAAAACCTTCCAGAAAAGAAAGCAAAACTCTTTCACCCTGTAAAGCTCGCTCTCACACTATCTCTTTATTTTTCTTTTTCACTTTTTTTTCTTCTCTTTTTCTTTTTATTTCTTTCTCAAGTGGGACATGTCGGTGATGAGTATGACTGACTAGTGATTATATGGGAAGAAAAAAAGACAAATCTCAGGATGATTATGAGAAGGAAGTGTTTGGTTGGATCTCCTTTTGTTTTTATTTTGATGGGATTTGTGATTTCTTCTGAATAATAGGCAGTGGAAGCCAATGCTCAAGTGAGCTGTATTTGTTGAAGTTTGGCAGAATCTTCGCTATAATAGATAGTTAAGTACTCTGTCCTCAGTCCTTGCCGCGTTCCAAGGTTGGAGTGACCAAAGAAGTAGGCCAAATTATGTCTTTTTCTTGTTATTTGCTTGGAATACCATGACAGGCGTTAAAAAATAAATTTAATATGTCAAAATAAATTTATCATGAAAATAAATTTATCAAAAAAACATATTTAATTAGAGTGCGATTGGAACAAGAATTCGTGTTATGGTTCAGATCATTATTCGTGACTCGTTACAGTATTTTTTTCATAAAAAATACACGTAAATCGATAATAATTCTGAATCATGATTCTGAATTGATGAACCAAGCGTTAAATTTTACATCGGGTAAGCTAAGGCTTGGATACCCTCTTTTTACAAGTAGGTTTTTAATAAATGAGTTCTATCTAACAATTAGTATTAAATGTCTCGTTTATTTTACCGATTCGAATTTTCAATTTCAGTTTTGTTATAGTTAAAAATTCTCACAAAAATTCAATTCTAACTTTTTTTACTACAATTAAAAACTATAATCTAAAATCATATATCAATTTTAATTAAAAATTAGAATCAGTAAACTGAACTAAGTCTGCGTAGTGTTACAAATTGAGCATCCGTAGAGGGTTGCTATTCGGTAGAAGGCGAGATATGCAAAATCACCACGTAGGAAAATGGCATGAATATCAATTATGAAATGCGGATAGAATATAACAATCTAATGGAGTCCCACATCCCTAAGTTAACGCCTGATTTTTTGAGTTTATGAGCCAATTTTAAAGGTGAGTTCTATCTATTGTGGTTGTAAAAATACCTGTCGAAGGGCATCTGTTTTGAACCCACGGTTTTTAATCATATTAGATTTTTTTTTTCTTTCTTAAGTTTGATAAAATTAAATTAAAAGATGAATAACGATAAGACAAATGTAACGAAAATGATCGATAATTATGCCAAACTTTTTATATCCTAGCCTTTCCAAACCCACGTCTTCCCACTTGACTTCAATACACTTGCCAATAAATATAATATTGAGAGTACTAGTAAGTCAGAAAGGACAGTGGAAATTTACTACTCTATTTAATGATGGTATTTGACCACGTTCGTCAAGGTCAGTCTTCTACATTGTCAAGAAACTTGTCTAATATATTATATTCAGCCAAAATAAAGAAACTTGACAAATGTTGGTGTCTTTTTTTTTTTCGTTGATTCGAATTTAGAATTTGAGTTTTATTATAGTAAAATTTTTTTAAAAACAGTCACATTTAATTATTTTATTATAATAAAAAATTTTCACATAATATTATATCTCAACTCGAATTAACAAACCGAATGACCCGTTATTAGCGGCCGATTAGTACTTTCAAGTTTGAAAAATAGAATTAAGAGCTTTAGTGAAGAAAGTGGGTTCATCTGTATTGGTAATGGGTAGCAAATCTCACTTACTAAGCAGACAATGTTCCAAAACAGCATCACTAAGTCAGCTTAATACCATTTAATATGTCAGGGATTTGCTGTCCCAGATAAAGTATTCACAACATGCAATTTTTTTTTTTCCCATAATAAGGGTTTATTTTTAATATATAACACCAACATTGTGAGGGTATACTTCTATTTCAAGACCTGAATCGTCAGTCAACCTCATATTTATATTAATTTAGGAATACCAACTTGTTATATTTATATGTTTTAAACTTAATGATGTAAAATTTTATTGAATTACATATATGTATTTTTTTTTCAACCATTTTTTGGTATTGTTATCATGTTATGTGCACTTGGCATTATTTCTCAAAAAGCTACTTTTAGATTTCCAATTCCAAAAATTACTCTTCATCTTTCAAAAGAACAGTCAATTAAAGCCACAATATATAAATTCTTAAAAAAAAAAAAAAAAACAGAGAGAGAGAATTCTGAAAAGACTTTAGAACTTCTACCAAAGCCTTGATCAAATTTTATAAATTTTATTCTTCATTTTATTAAGCATTTTTCAAAATATAATTCCAAATGCTAACTAAACAGTAACTTTTTTTAAAATCTTTTTCTATGGACTAAAAGGATATGCAAAAACAATGCGGTCATTTAAATTCTTAGACAATCGATTACAACTCATATCTTACCTAAGTAGGCGACACAAAAACAACCAAAAAAATAGGGGGGAGTCAGAATTTTGTTTCAGAAGGGCACAAACTAAAAAATGTTAAAAAAATATTAAAAAGCTAACAAAATCAACTTCTAATACCTTTTTTTTTTTTTTTTTTTTTTTTCATGCGTTCATATACTATTAACTAGTTGGAAGCATTTTATGCACGTGTATATTAATTAGTTTATTGAACTTTTTGATACATGAATTCAAAATTTTGAAAAGCTTAATTTTTTTCTTGTTTGAATTTATTACTCGCTTAAGAGTTCAGTTTAGTAAAAAGAATTTATTTAAGTGAAATGGATTAAAATGCACATTTCAATCAAAATATACTTTTGGATGAATATTATATATATGTATAGATAAATAGATCACATTTGAGTTATAAAGATTTTAGCAGGTAAATTAGATTAAAAAATCATTTAGGAGTACATAATATGTATCAAAAAATAGTAGTTAAAAATGTCGTAAGGAAAAAAAAAATTGTTTAAGTACGTAAGGACTCATTTGAAGGGGAAAAAAAACTACTTCAATAAGGGTAAATTAGAGAAAATGTGTTCATGAGAAAATAATAATTGAGAGGGAAAAAATCCTTAATTTGGAACACATTTAACAAAAATTATTCTAATAGATCGTACAAACTTTTTTTTATGAGGCTCAATTTTTATATAATAAAGATTATACGAAAAAAGTATTTTAGAAGGAACCAATTTAAAATAAAAAAAGTTCACAAATAAAACAAAATAATAATTCAATTAGATACATTTAAAAGTATAAGAAAAAAGATCAAAAGAACAATAAAAAAATAATTGAGATTGGATTTTGTAGAGATATATTTAACATTTTTACTAATAAAAGAGGATGACATATATAAAAAAAAAATTAAAAATTGTATATGAAAAATAAAATAGCAAAAATCTAGAGGGTATATGGCTCCACCTCCATCGCCATCGCAAGCTTGTCATGGATGATCAAGTCATATAATTTGAACCAGCAAAGCAAATGGTACTCTTAGGGTTCGTTTGGTTAGAGAATTCAAACTATGTGATTCGAACTATTTTTGATTTACGTGTATTTTTTGTGAGAGAAAATACTGTAGCGAACCACGAATCATGATTCGAATCAGGGAACGAATCCCTCTACCAAATGCCCCCTAAGTTGCTGCATAGGAAATTAATTATGGCACTAATTCATATTAATATATCGGGCTAGAGCAGTTAAGCAGCACATTCACTTTTGTTGTAGATAACGCTGTGTAATTTGCATGGACATTGAACGTGAGAAAGGCCGGAGTTTATGGATATGAGCGAAGGATTTGGTCAAATTTCCAACCAAATATTGTAAACAGTTTATTAGAATCATATTATAATACAAAAGAAGGGGATGAACATTGGAAATCTGTGACGAAAAGCCTTTGACAGACCAATCAAAACCTTCTGTTACCATTGAACGATTCTCTTTTACACTCCTGAAAGAAAGAATCCACTTTTGTGGACGATGACGACCAGTCGCTCTCAGATCAATCTATCAAACTAAAAATTAATAATTAGCGCGGATTTCGGTGATCAAGGTTCTAATATTACAATTTTATATTAATCTTTTTTTGGGTTTAGGTAACAAGGAACTGAGGAGCAGCTGGGAGAATTTATGCCCACAAATAAGGAAAAACGAGACTTTTTCATTTAAATTATAATTTTGGGAGTTGTCTATAGTCTCTCAGTTTAAAAATGAAAGACAAGTCTCTCATGTGCTATCGTAACCGGCTCATGTGTCACTGTAATTGATTAAAAGCCTAACGTAATTTTCTTGTATTAAGTTGTAACAGTTATTATTTTAAAAATTAGAACTCGCTTTTAAGCATATAACAATAAACGATCATTATGTGCATCTGTCATGAATAATTATATGAAAATATTAAAAGACACATCAATAAACAATTGTTATGTTTAATATGAATAATAATATGTATATCTATCATTTTTACTTTTAATATAAGTTGTTATATCATAACCGACTGTCGTTTTTAAACTTGAATAATATTGTCATGGAAAATTACATCTGTCATGTTTTTTTTTTGATAGGCACATCTCATAAAGTATGAACATTTGTTGGGAGCATTGCATGACAATGTTTTATTTGTCACATGCTTAAAAAAGACTTATGTTTTTTAAAATAGTAATTGTTACAATTTAATACAAAAAAATTACGCTAATCATTCAATTAATTACGCTAATTTTTCAACCAGTTATGATGGAAGAAATGTCCTCCATAAAAGTTGTGGAGGACCACAGAAAAGGCCATATTTCTGAGACTTTAATCAATTAATTAATTAATTGTAAGTTTTCTTTTGTTTTTAGCATCTTTTGATGCCGTAATTAGTGGGTGATTTTATTTTTTTTATGAAAATAAAAATGAAAATATTTTTAATTTCAGACATAAATTATTTTTAAAAATGTATTTAGTAGTTTTATCAAGAGATTATTTTCAGTATAAAAAAATTAAATAATGTCTCTCTTTCTTTCTCTGCTCTCGAGAGGAGAAAATGAAAATAAAAAAAATAAAAAATAACTAAAAATAATTTTTCATTTATCTCTCATTTTACATTAAATTAAAAAATCTTTTTCATTTTTGTATTTATCTTCATTGCGTCAAACGTCATTTTAAAAACATTTTTATTTTTTTTTTCTCAAAAAAACATAAAAAATAAAAATAAAATCAATTGTAAACCCAGCCAATAAAATTCTTCTATTATTTACTAGGGGAAGACGTAACATCTATTATCGTAATTTGAGCTCTTCCATTCTGTTTTTATTTTACTTTTTCCCCAACACATTTGCTTCTTCTTCTTTATCCCTGAAATCTTTTGGTCTTGTCACTATATCATGACACTAGTAATCACAAAACTCTACTTAAAGATGATATGACTCGTCACTGTCTCATGAAATTAATAATGACGATAATGTAAGGATTATGGGCCAGAAGGTGAACTATGGAGTGAGATCCATTATATAGTGCCAGGATTTGGGCTTTAGACCCAAAATTGAAGAATTCCAGAAAGTACAGCCCAAGCTGGATCAAGAAGTTGGAAAAGAGAAAATTGTGTGTAGTTATTCACCCGCAAACTTTTACACAAAAGTCAAGTTCAAAATTTTACAAAATCCCGTTCACTTCGCTGATTCAAGTTTAAAATTTGAATTGAGATGTAACTTTATATGAGAATTTTTTATTATAATAAAAAAGTTAAATGTGATTATTTATGAGAACTTTTTACTGTAAAAAAACTCAAATTATAAACTCGAATCAGCAAAATGAACATGGTATGTTTACCAAATTTAAAAGAATAGCGGTATTCATCTAACACTGCAATTTTTATATGAGAGTTTTTTACTATAATAAAAAAATTAAATGTGATTATTTATGAGAACTTTTTACTATAAAAAAATTCAAATTCTAAACTCGAATCAGCAAAATGAACATAGTATGTTTACCAAATTTAAAAGAATAGCGGTATTCATCTAACACTGCAATTAAAGGCGGACTTTAATTATTTGGTATTTAAGTTTTTGGCATGAAGAATACCAGTTTAGAAGAATATCAGAAGGTGGCCGGCTGAAGTAAGCAGACTATCAGATCAAATGATATATTCCATACGAAAGGGAGTCAATACAAGAATAGAAAATGCAAAACAGATCCGCTTTCCATTAAAAGAGATTAAAACAAAAATCCACTTGCACAAAATAAATAATTGTTTTTTCCTTTAGAAAAATTAGTCCTTTTTTTTGGGGGATTTTAAACCTTTGGTCAGACGAGAGATATTTTCTTTATTCCCTGAAAGCACGTGACGGCTGCAATGACTTTCAGCTAACAATTATCTTGTCTCATACAACAGATTCTTATTAGCAATATTTATTATCATAGACGTATAATTGAGGAAATTGCGTCAGTTTTCTGATAAATTCACTTATATCTTCTGACCTCTTTGATATACAAAAGGAAATTATAGAAGTGTGTTTGGCGTTTTCAACTTTTTGTTAGGTAAGCAATGTGATGAAGACAGGTGAAAATGGTCCAAGGTCATGACTCATTCTAACTTCACAAAATGTGTGTTCTCTTCTCATGCAACTAAATTGTTAGATCCGTTTTTAGCAATTTATTGACTATCAAAATTAATAAACCATGAAAGCAGTAAATATATTGGCACATGTTATTGGTATCACAATTCGGTAACTACCTACATCTGTGGAGCCATACTTAGTCATTGAATCATTTATTAATTCTCAACGATTATAAATACCAATCAGACTTATACAAATAAAGACTCACTCTTTGAATTTATCGCCACCGTGCAAAATTAACTAGATGGCTTGATTCAGTGAGCACCACTCCTTTTCAAACTGTACGGGAAAATCCCTTCGTCTTGCAAGTCGATCTCTCCTGAAAGCTTCAAATTCTTCTCCTGAATAACGATAAACTATTGAACTCCCTTCAACACTGCAAACGTCTTTTCCCGAAGACTACTACTTTTTCTCCCAAAGAATTATAATGAGAACTTCTCAAAACATTATGCTTGAAACCCAAGAAGCCTATAGAATGAATGATCTTGAGTTCTATTTATATAACTTTTATTCCTTATCTTCTAGTCAACACAATCCACTTCTATTTCAAATTATCTCCACGTCCACATTATCTTCAGGTTGGTATTCACCAAATTCAAATCTCTTCTAGATATTATTCGAATAATACACCACAATTTAAATCAGAATTTACTTGGCATATATGCAAGCTTCATCTACCTTTTAAATTCAAATCTAAATTCTCCTAAAACACATCTTCACCATGCAAACTTTATCTCCTATATGAATTTAAATTCACATCTCTAAATCATCTCTAAAAATCTACACCTGCTTTATCAAACAAAATCCACAAGCACATTCTCTTTTTTAAATCTTTAAATTCAAATTAACCATTCATTGATAGATTCAGATTTAACAAATTTTCAAATCCGATCTTCCAACAAAATATCTTCTCAAATTCAAATTCCAATTCAACCACCTTATGGAAACTTTATCCTCTACACTAGAGCTTCTCAAAACCAGATAAAGAACATTTCACAATCTCCATGAAATTCGATTCATCTTCATTCGAATTATCACACAAAATCGACACATATTCTTGATAGAATCTCACCACAACTTCAAATAAAAATCTGGTTCAGAATCTCACACAATCCGAATCTGCCTCAAGTCCACCAAGAACCTGTTTTTGAATTTTTTACATACAGTTGCCCGTAAATGCCAACTAGACAAAAACCTAACATAAATTATAAAAATTGTGTCCCGACAAAATATTCTCATTACAAAACATTTTTTTAAAAAAAGTTTATAATAAATCTAACAATTTAAAAATACATTATACAAATATATTACATATTTTTTTCAATACACGGCATTTCAATAAATTCCCATAAAATAAAAGTGTGTTTGTTTAGTTTAAGGGAAGAGAGTAGGAAGACAACAGGTGGAAGAATGCATTCTCATAATCCACAAAATTCAAACAATCCGCCAATTTTAAATTTTAAGAGATTATTTTACTTTCTAAAAAATTATTATTAAATTATATAAATAAATAATATAATAATTAATCAAATAATAATTATTTATCTTTTTAATCGTCTCTTTCTTTTATTAAACAACGTATACGAATATAATCATTTTTATTCTTTCCGTTACGCAACAGGATAAGCAAAAAGGTACGCATCCTTCTAATTCTTTTCTTTTTTTTTTCTCCCCTCTTTCGTTCCAACCAAATGGAACCTGCAAAAAAGAACAATATAAATCAAATGAATAAGTAAAGCATGTTCAGGTCAGAATTTTTAATTTAAATTGGGATATAATTTTATATAAAAATTTTTAATTGTATAAAAAAAAGTTATATAACTATTTTCAAAAACTGTTTGAAAGTTAAATGGTGAAATGAGTTAGACTTAAATAATTAATAAATAAATAAAAACACAACGAGACCCACGTGGCATTATATTATTCAATATTCCCCCATCCACCTAACTAGCCAAGCCATTTGTTTTGTGCGTTTGTTTCTTTTAGTAGAAAAAACTACTCCAAAGAAAAGAAAACATAAAACAACGAATCAGGCAGGCCATAGACTACAGAGAAATTCGAAAACAAAACTCACCAATCAATATGGGAGTCACCAAGGACGCCATGGCAGACGCAGTCCTAACTTCCCTTTGGGTCTTCTCCATGCCCGTCACCAGAATCTCAACCTCCGTCTTCCTCACCTCCTACCTGGGAATTCAAGGAAACTCTCTCTCAGGCCTTTTCGCAAACACCTTGTTCACATCTCTTCTCCTCATAATCTTCAACCTAATCTCCAGAGCCCTCGGCGGCGCCAGCTTCAACCCCGCCACCTCCGCCGCCTTCTTCGTCGCCGACCGATCCCCCGGTGCCTCCCTCCTCTCCACCGCCGTCCGGTTCCCGGCGCAGGCCGCTGGCGGAGTCGCCGGCGTCAAGGCGATCCTGACGCTAGTCCCACATCGGTTCAGAGACAAGCTCAGAGGACCTTCTCTGAAAGTGGACGTGCACACCGGGGCTTTTGCCGAAGGGGCCTTGACTTTTCTTTTTTGCTTTTCGGTCCTTTTTGTCGTGTTCAGAGGGCCCAAAAGCCCATTATTGAAGGTGTGGTTGCTTTCGAATGTGACTGCTGGGCTGGTTTTTGTCGGGAGTGGGTATACTGGGCCGTCCATGAATCCGGCTAATGCTTTTGGGTGGGCCTATGCTAATGATAGGCATAATTCTTGGGAACAATTCTATGTTTATTGGATTTGCCCTGTTGTTGGAGCCGTTTTGGCTGCTGGATTTTTTAGGGTTTTGTTCTCCAAACCGGTGGTGGTGAAGGAGAAGAAAGCTTGAAGAAGGTGTTTGGGTTGATGTTTATCCGTCTCTCTCTCTATCTCTCTCTCTCTCTCTCTCTTTTATTTATTTATTTTTACCATGAATTGATAAATTCCACTTTGTAAGTAGATTAATGATCTGCGGGAATAATATGGCAATCGCTTTGTCAAGTGACAAGTATGTGATATTTGGCTTATCAAATCAAAGATACAAAAAAGGCATGTGATGCTTGGCCACTTGGTTGACGGGTCAAATTATTTGGCTTGAAGATTTTTTTTTTATTTTTTTACTTTTTATTTTCAGTTTATTAACAAAATTAATGTAGTTAGTTTATGAACAATTAGTATTATGTCTCTAATTTTTTTTTAAGTTCATATGATAAAAAAAGGGCTTTTTTTGTCCAAAAAAACAAATACAGAAATAATTGTGTCGATAATGTGACAGTTAAAAATTTTATAAAAATATTTAGGTACACAAATATATTTAATAACTTTCAGGAGTTTTCAAAGATAGTGAATCCAACATTTTGCGCACTTTGTTAATTGTTTTTGTAATTTCAAGTTATTATGGGATCTACATCTAATTGTTTCCATTAAACTTGAAAAATCTCATTAATAAAGAGCAAGGGAATAAAATTGCCACAAAATTAAATTTAGGGAGTGATCTAAGAAAAAAAAAAAAAGGAAAGAACTTATTGTGACAACACTTAATATACAGGGAGTAACATTGCTTAAAATCCTATAAAACTATTTTACCCGTTGACGTTTTATATATTGGATCCAAGTTGAAAAGAGTTTAAGAATCACGTGGAGAGTGGAGACCTATAATAGTTATGCAGCATATTTAATTACAAAAGGAAGAAAAAAGCCCTGCCATATATATTCTAACTAAGCTTATTGGAGGCGTTTACATAACCAACCAAAACCAAAACCAAAACAAAGAAAGGAAAAAGAAAACTAAAGAAAGAAATCTGGTGATCTACTTTGTGTAAATGCTCCTTTACGTTTGCAAATCATGAAATTGCTCGAGTCAGCAAACAACTAATTCAATGAAGTATTACACTTGATCGGTAGCCCCAAGACAAAATATATATTCTTGGCAGCAACTATATATATTTATATACATTTGATCATTCATTTGCCAAAACTCTGTGGTTTTCTACATAATTAGTCATAGGACCACCTCTAATTAAACTCGTTTCTATACAATTTCATCTAATATCAATTTGGCCTAAAAAGAAAAGAAAAAACAAAAGGAATCACTCTTGATAAAGTTCATCTAAACTGGATTAATACTTTAAAAGCTAATTTCTACTTCGAAAAAATACAAACTGCATTAATACAAATAATTTCCTTTTTTAACTGTTTTTTCCATCGTTACACTTGCACTTTAAAAGCTAATTTCTACTTTATTAAATTGATACTACTTTGTATTAGTGTGCCGCTGCAATTGACATTGAATTAGAAAGGTTTTCTTTTTTCCTCTCTGATGAGTCCTGCAAGAAAATAGCATTTTAGGGATAACTTTTTTCATTGCTGAAAATTGGAAATTCGTCATTGCCTTTAGCAATGACACTTTTTTTTTTTTTTTTTTTTTTTTTTTTTTGGTTGTGTGGTGTGGTGGAGGGTAGTAAATATCATTGCAAAAGGTCTTCAATCTAATAAATTATTTTGTCATTGAATCATTTTGAGATGAATATTGTTGTTGCTGAAAGTTCTCCAAAGTTAATGACCTATTTTAGTCAGTGAACATGAATGACAAAGATGACGACCTTATACATTGCTAAAAAGTCGTCGAGGATTAAGACAACTACTTTTGGTTTTTGTTACACTTTTTTTTTTTTTTTTTAAAACTTTGATAATAAAAACTTGCGACATTTGAAGCCAAGTTAGACCTATTCGTTTCCAATTGAACCATAATCGTAAATAATTGAATCATAGAATTTTTTATCAAAATGATGATAACAAATATTGAAGAGAAATTTAAAGAATATAACAGAAGACACAAAACACCATTTTTTTTAATAATTAAACACTTAAAGGAACAAGAACATAGCAAAAATTACATCTGCAAATGTAGATGAATTTAAAGAACATAACCAAAGACACATGCTCAAAGGGCGAGCTTGAGATTTCAAGCAAGCTTTTTTTTGGTCAACGAACTTTGGACTCCAATCGGCATAGCAACGCCATCATAACAATTCTTCTGGCGGTGGTGGAGATCGACAGAGTGGTGGCTCATGTCTCTCGTACGTGTGGTTAGTCGGATTTCATTGGTTTCGGAACTAATGATAGTAACTCTCATTGAGCGTATTTTTCCTGCCCTAGATGCATTTATTTCATTTCTGATTAAGTTATTTATTTATTTTTTTTTTATATAAATAAGTTGGAGGTGGGAAGATTTGAACTTAACACATCAAGATGGAGTCAAGTGTTGATTTACTACTAAGCATGCAACGACTATCTGATTAAAGTTGTAACTGAACTTTTAGCTAGAAAATTTTTGACTTTAGTTGTTGAAAGTAATCCCAATAAAAAGTAAAGTTTTATAGCTAAAAGTAATTTCAATAATAATGTAGAATATTACTAAAAAAAAAAATGAAATAAAGGGTAACAACTCAAGCTGTAAAATTTGTCATTAAAAGATTTGCTCCTGTTGTATATCCTGTATTCATATGTGAAAGTATAAATTAGTGATGAACGTTTAGTCTTTAAAAGTCTTTTGCTACGGCTTACACTTAGTTCTATGTTTTGCTTTGTTTAGCAACCAAATTTGTTATATTCCCACACATAAACCAATACTCTTGAAGTGAAAACCTCATTTCTTGTAGTATGGTCTATCATATCTTGCCTGGGATTTAACTCATAAATGTATATTCCATAAATGATCGAAGTTTAAAATTAATAAATGCGGAGACAATTTTTCCTCAATCAATAACCAATTGACATATGTTCTATAGTCGCAGCTAATAGAATTAGAGCTTGCGGGCAACGAGTATGGCTTTATACTCGAGGTGGATGCCGAAGGACATCACCTTACAAAAGGTGGATGCCAATGCCATTATATGCTTGAGCCTTGAGGTGGCGGAACCACCTTATGCTCAAGGTGAATACAAACGTCACCTTTTATGCTCAAGGTGGTTCTTGAGGCCATCTTACACTTAAGGTAGGTATCGACGCCACCATACGCACAGGGGATATCGAAACCACCTACACTTGAGGTGAGCCTTGATACAACCTCATTTTCCTTTTAGGGTTGGTAATAAAAATTAAGGTGGCGTTTGGTTCATGGATTCAAATCATGTGATTAGAACCATTTTCAATTTATGTGTGTTTTTTGTGAGAGAAAATACTGTAGCGAACTACGAACTATGATTCGAATCAGGGAACGAATCTAGATACCAAACGAACTCTAAGAATTGAGTATCATTGAACAGAGCATCAACGAAAGTTGGCGTCACATCACAACCGATGGCATCAGTCTGTATTAACATTTCACTCATTATTGGGTTTTTTGGTTGTTGTATGGCATTCACAAGGTTTTGTGACTCAACATCACCTTATCTTCTAAATCTCAAACTAGATGTGCGATCGATTATGAGAGTAAGGCTTTTGTGATGGTCTCAACAAATATACATTGTCGTAGGTACGAACCTCAAATGATCCCACACATGAATGTATGCTTCGTGGTATCAAAGGGACCTCACTTGTCACCTAAATAGTGGAACGACAACCTTGATCCTCCGAACTCAATTGAATTTAGAACCCTTAATGGCTCTAGTGTTTTGTGCTCTAGGGTTTGCTTCACTAAAAATTAATACAACATCCCTCCTATTCTGGACAAAACTACTCCAACCTCATTAACCTTAAAGGCACAACTGATTTGAGCAAGTGCCCTTTGTAGGTGGTCGATCAGTGATGCACCCTAAGGTGTAGCATAAAGGTGGAGGTGACGAGTTAGATGGTGTTAGGACAACTGCTCCAACAGTAAATTATTTAAGTTTTTCTGTCTATACATGTGTAGTTATATATGTATATATATATATTACTTTTTTTTTTGAAAGTATGCATACTTATATATACTAATGAACTAAATATACTTCTTCATGATCGAGAGGGGAGAGGAGTCATGTGTCCGAATATATGAATCTGATTTTGAAATCTTTGTTACATTGACTCCCTTGTGGCATAAATTCCAAATCGCTCAAGTGCGTCTTTATTCACCCCTTTCTTGAGTTGACGATCTAAATTTTACCGCTTAAAATTTTGTCCACTAATTAGGAGACTTGAATCAGAAATCAGAACCAATCTAGGATAGGTATATATCTTGTTCTTTGGAGAAATGATACACCGCATTATAAAAGATGTGTCAAAATATTAGTTTCTCTACAAATTAGTAACCATTTTAGCTTCACTGTTTAGCAAGTTATTATTATTATTATTTGAAAGAGAGAAAAAAAAAGGAGCAAAATTATCTGTACGAAGAGAAAATAAAGGAGCAAAGTTTATTCGAATATCTCAAGCACACATTAGAATATATGGAAAATAGTTATAATTATATTGAAAAAGATTACAACACACGTAGGAAATTAGAAGTTGTAAAAACATAATTCTAGTTACTACAACAACATTGTCGTGATTCCCAGTATTTGGGTTATATATACTCAGGCTCAATGTTCTTGATTACTCAAAACTTACAACACAGTAAACAAACCAATACTATACCACTAGATCGGACAATATGTGACCAGGTGTAGGCATAACACGCGACCACATGAAAGTTTGAAGTTTGAAAGGGGAACTCGTCACGGGACATGGAATAGATACACGTCTACCAAGCCATAACTTGTACGGCGTAGTGACTCATATTCCTAGTTCCGTACAAGGCCAATTTCAGAAAGAGCAAGACAATGAACATGTTGATGTTGTTCTTTGCGTGTTCCATGATTATCACCCCATGATGAGCACATGATGAAATTAGCAGCTGCTTCTTTTTTCAACAATGACATTTCATCCACTCCTACCATAGCCTGCTTAATTAATATTATGTTATATATATATATATATTTACGAACATGATATATAAGATTGTCAACTAATATTAATTAATTTAATTACCTGGCAGAAGTGGTAAACAAGGGGGAAGAGCAAAGCTGGGCATATCTGATCAGATGGGTTTTCTATGGTGCACGCAAGTCCTCCATTGAAGTGATGATCATCATGATCTTTGAAGAGTTGAGGAGATATGATTTTGTTTCCTTGGTGCAAGCCACGCTTCTTCTTGGGCTTACTATATTCCCACCAACACTTGATCCTTTCCCTTTGATCATTCCTCATGAGGCTGCTCATAATCTCACCGTCCGTTCTTGGGGGACTCGGAGCTGCATTCATGTCCTGATCATCGGTACTTTGACAGCCATGGGATTTCAGCAGTTCCATTTTGTGCATATTCATGAGAAATAGAGAACTACATCCTCAGCTCCACCGCACAAAACTTAACCTGACAGTTGAAATTTTTAATTTTATGTGCAAAAGACCCGTGTCCAAACAAAAACCCTCAACCTTTTCTTTTATGCAATTAAATTAAGAATATTAAATCAAGAAAGCACGTACGGACTTTGATAATTCATTAATCAAACTGTATACATGTGTTTCGTTTTGACAGGATCTATATATCTATATATTATTTCTTCAAGAAATACGGAAAAAAGGGGCTTTCTCCTTTTGGAAAACCCTGACTGGGTTTTCATTTTTTTAATCTTTTATTTATAAATAAAAAAAACATTAATTAAAACCAAGAAGCTGCAAAGACTCTTGCAACACACGAAACATGTTTAATATTATGCCTCGTAATTAATCATCGAAACTCAAGAAAACACCTTGAACAACGAAAATGCAAATCCAAGAAAAAAAAAAAAAAGAAAAGAACAGATTGTTTTGGCAGGCCGTACAATATTATTATTGCAAGAAATTAAAAGAAAGTGGGAAAGGAATATTACCAGTTGGGAGCTTCAGGCAAAAGAGAAGTGAAGATGAAGATGATGCGGCATTTTAAGAGGTGATTAAGGAGAGAATAGTGAGATTAATGATCTAACTAGCCAAACAAATTAGCCACACGATGAAAGAATTTTCTCTCTCAAAAAAAAAAAAAAAAAAAAAAAAAACCTCTTTTTTCCGGCTCCTGTACTGTATCTGTGTGCGTGAGTGTGTGACGTCTCATCCGAGCATCAACCCGCTTTTAAATAATAGTGAGCTGGAAAAGAAAAAGTTTGGTACAAGTTCTAGGTTCATTGAACCTAGACACAGGTTAAGAAAGGAAAGGAATATTTAGGGATACGTTGATAATCCCCACCATGCATTCTTCATAGTGTTTTATTATGATGCCTGGTAGTGAGAACAAGGCTACCTACGATATAGTGGACGGTTCAGATTAGTTGGAGCTTTTTTGGTTGTATCTAAATGGCACTTCCTGCTTAGAGAAAATAACTGTTATTTTAATCGTTAAATGTGATTATCTATATTAAAAATTTACAACACGTTATACTTAACTGTTTCAACTCACAAATCAATCCGTTAAAAAGCTAATCTAACAAGTAATAATACGTGCTATTCGTGAAATAAAATATTAAATCATACCATAAAAGTTCACCTCTTTAGTTTTTTTTTTCTTTTTTCATCCCTATCAAAAAATAAGGGATAAATAGCAAGAATTAATGACTGGTGTCGGCTGCTTTTGACAAATTTTCTCCACCAAACTTGTCGACTACACCATTATTGTTTCCCAGCACACAAAAATTAAATAAAAAGGATTATTCTCGTTTTTGAACTTTGATATAAGTTAGAAATTATTTTTATCCTTCATTTTGAAAATATCCCATAATACATGTCTTCGATCAACTAAAAACTTGTCCTATTAGTCCCTTCCCGTATGAGTTGTGACTGCTAAAAATTCGACAAAATAGTGATGTGACTAACATGTGTGGTTTAATGAGGGCAAAAGGGTCATTTTTCCCAACAGAGCCAATGAAATCTAGTGTTCATTTGGGCCAGGGAAAATCTCATACAGTAGAATCTCAATAAATGAATGTTCAATAAATTAATAATCTCAATTAAATAATAAAATTTTTCAATCCGAGTTAATGTATTAAATTAATAATCTCACTAAATGCATACGATAATAATTCTTTTTAAAATCTTTTAGGGCCCAATAAAAATATAAATTAATAATTAATCATATAACAAATAAAAATAAATAACATACAAAAATCATCCACTATATTTCTTTATTTATAACTATACATGAATGTTGGTGAAAAGAATAATACATGTATCAAGATGAAACAAGTTATTAAAATATAAAACTCTTTTAAAATTAATACAATATTTATGTATCGATAAATTAATAATCTCGTTACAATAATATTTTCTTTTAGTCTCAAAAATATTAATTCATAGAGGTTTTACTGTACGCTCAAAAATACAAATTGGGAATTAAGGACTCTTACATTTTTGAGCTTTGAGTGAGAGTGATGGTGACTGGTGCTCAAATTTTAGAAATGTAAATATAAGATTGACGAGTGCAATAGAGTATAAATTGTTGGAGAAGATTTCTCAACATTAATGCTTCTCTACCTATTCCGCAGTGTTCTATCGCTTTGGGTTGCAATGCTTCCGTGAGCGCCAAAACTTTCACTATAGAGCTCCTCCGATGCTCAAGTTTGACAAATAGTCACTAATTAGTAGAGTGCAAATAAAATGGTAGAAAGATGTCCAAATAGTTAATTAGAGTGCGTTTATAGCAAGGATCCGTGTCATGGTTCGGATCATAGTTTGTACCTCACTACAATATTTTTTCTTACAAAAAAATACACGTAAATCGAGAATGATTCTGAATTATAGTTCTAAATTTATGAACCAAACGTCATCTATATGTTCTCCTTATAGGTTAGGGATTCAACAAGAGGGATTCTCCATACCCACATGTCATGCACCCTTTTGCGTAGGTTTTGGATAATACTTGAGAATTTACCTTTTCACTAAGACATTTATAAACGGTTGAGGAAATCCTCCTATATTACATGGTGATCATTTTAAAAATAGCACGTATCATTCTTTTAGCCGAAGAGTCTATATTTCTGCCACGTGTAATTTCGCATTCGATCTTGATCAAGTCGTGCTAGTGGTTCGTCCTTTGATGTACTCGAGAACCTCTGATATGATCCTTTTCTAGGATACATGTGGTATCTTGATTCGTCATGAGAAAATTCTCCAACATAAACTAAACCCTAAATATTTCATCCAGCAAAAAGAAGAAAAAAAAAAATCGCTTGCCTCTTTCCGTCTCAAACTTAAAAGATTTTGAAACAAGTAGACTAACTTTGGAACAATTTATTAGATTAAGGATATATTTTAACGTTATAAAAATCAAAAATCAAATAGAGTTTGTGCTTGTGATTCAAAGATCGAAAAATTGATTAATTTAAAATAAAAATAGGAAAACAAGAATATTGAGAAAAGGGACACACTAGAAAGTAGGGAAAAAAATAAGAGAGACAAGCATAGAAGTGTATCAATCTATTATTTTGACAAAGTACTGATTTTGAGTTTATCTTGACCTCAGCTAAGCAGCGGAAAGAAAAAGAAGTAAAGTTTGAGAACTTTGAGTTTTCTATGCGACTGCAAAAGAAGTTTGAGCCTTGAGGACCAATAATGCAGTGTATGAAAAGTTGTTAAATACGTATATATTCTAAACAATTAAACCGCAACCCAAAAAAAAAAAAAAAAAAAAAAAAAAAGACATACGTAATAAGATGGGAATTCTTAAAATAATAAAAGGGTCCTGATAAAGTACAACAGAATCTTAAATTAAGGTTTTCAGTGGTACACGTAAGCACCCTTAAAAGTAATACAAAAATATCCCAAAGAGGCATGTGAAGTGAACCTACTCATTGGCGAATGGCCAGTCCTTGTTAATGAAAGCTCTTTCTTTGCAATTCAAACATTTCTATGGACCTCCAAACCATTTTACAGCTATATATAGTGCGCCATTGACATTTTCTTTCTTTTTCTTACCTTTTTTTTAGGAGTTTTTCCGGTAATTTATCTTATCAATAATTTCAGTTTTTAATTGTTAAAAAAATATATACATAACTGATAGATTCTAATATAAATTTAACGGCTGAAAAAATAAAAAACTACTGATAATTTATTTTTACAGAAACTATGAGGGAAAGTCTTTTTTTTTTTCCCCCCCCTTATCCTTCACTTTTGCAAAGTAGAGAATCTTGGATGGAATACTTGACAATACGTAATTCTAAAGTCTACCTAATTCCATTTATGCCCCTAGCTAATAATCTTTGTGAATTTTGGGTTTTATCAGTTTTACGAACCTTAATGATGGACAAAAAAAGAAAGTTATTTCCTTTAGTATTTGAGATTAAAAAAAAAAAAAAAACTAAACACATAAAAAAGAATTCCATATGGGCATGTTACAGAATATATCACTATGATCCGATTCTCCAGCTTCAATTAACTCAATCTTGACAGAAACATTGAGAGAAAACAAACATGAAATATTGTTTATGTAATTGGTATTTAATTATAATAATGTTGGTCATGCGAATATTCCAGCGTAAAAAAGATTAAAAAAAAAAAGAAGCAACGTGAATATCTGGTTGTGAGTGCATATCAATGGTCTAAAATTCCTAAAATCGATGTTGCCAATAGTGCCATATCCCTATATAATATGAAATTCAGGAAAAAGAAAAAGAAAAATATTTGTAGACTCAATAGATGGAAGCTTTAGTCCTATAACACTATATAGACGTACAGCTTTGACATTATATAAATAGGACCACCACAAGAGATTATATGAAGTGATGAATCTAGTTGCCTTCCCCACATTGTAGCTTTCAGGAGGGTCCTCTTATTGCCTGGTCACAGGATAATCGAAACCTCAGAAATATACAAATAATATGTCCAAAACTTAACCAAGTCCATAAAACTTGACCAAATACATTTATGGACCAAATACATTATCTTGATCTAACTAGGTAGGCAACTTTTTTTTTATTATATTGGAGCATCTTTATAGTGGAGAAAGTTATTTTATTCTACCGGTAGGAATTTTTGTTTTTAATTATTTAGTTAATTTTCAACAATCAAATATTTATGTATGTTCGTATTAAAAATTTATAGTATGCGACACAAATTTATTACCAATGCATATTAAATAAAAAATTAATATAATTCTTACTAGTAGAATAAACTAAAGGAAGACTAGGCTTTTATTATTACAGCCATCATCATCACTTCCGTCTGCTAGGTTGGCAAAGGAAACAACAAAAAAACAAAGAACGTGGCCATCCATATTGCTACTGCCATGATTCATCAGGTTCTGTAACTCTTTCCTAACCACCTGCCACATAATCTTTATAGTGGAGAAAGTTATTTTATTCTATCGGTAGGAATTTTTGTTTTTAATTATTTAGTTAATTTTCAACGGTCAAATATTTATGTATGTTCGTATTAAAAATTTATAGTGTGTGACACAAATTTATTACCAATGCATATTAAACAAAAAATTAATTTAACAGTTAAAACATAATTCTTACTAGTAGAATAAACTAAAGGAAGACTAGGCTTTTATTATTACAGCCATCATCATCACTTCCGTCTGCTAGGTTGGCAAAGGAAACAACAAAAAAACAAAGAACGTGGCCATCCATATTGCTACTGCCATGGTTCATCAGGTTCTGTCACTCTTTCAGGTTTGGAAAGAAAAGAAAATAAATAAAATTGAAGACAATAGCTACCGTTTACTTATTTATTAGAAAGCGGAATGATAAATAATCAAGTTCTTCTTCCAGTGTTTACTTAACTTAATAATAGAAATCTTATATTGCTTCCTTTTTTCCTGTAACAAGCTGGAACATAAATCTTATTAATGTAAGTAATTACTAATTTTTTTCATATTTAAATAATTATTATGGAAGTAGGTGCTCGTATGCCTTTTGTTCGTAACTTGATATATTTTCTAGTGTAAGGATTGAGTGATTGTTGTATTGAATGATTATATAAAGTAAGGACAAATGTGAGAGATATGATTGAATAATAAAATTTATTGCTTAGACTAAGATCAGCACCCACTTAATGCCCCTAT